TTTTTTTCTCTTTACCGAGGAAAATGAAAGCGGCTGCCACGTGGGTGAAGAATGAGCGCAGGTATGAATGAGCAGGTGTATTTACATTGGTTCATTGCATCATTGCGTCATTTCATGTGGCCTGCATTTAGCTTTTTTTTTTTTTAGCAGTTTCTTCGTTATTAAACAGCTTGCACTTCTGCTGTACTTGTAAATCAATTGTGATGTATTTGTGTTAGCCTCATGTAACCAGTAGTGGAGAGGAAACCAGGAGTCTTCATCAGCTCCGATTCTGAATGAGTCTGATATAATAATAATTGAAAAAAGTCCCCTCAGCAAAACAAAACAAACAAACAAGAAAAGCAATCCAGCACCTGTAGTACTTGCAATGACGTTATCGTTAACATATATCTGACCTTTGATCTGATCAGTTTTGTTTCGTCACCTGTTCATGCATGTGGGTCCACCGTCTGCCTGCCACATGCCGGTTTCTTGACAATAATAAATGTAAATGTCCTCAAAGCAGCATTAATATCCCTGTATCACGTTAACTGTTTAGTATCAAAACGTAAGCCTATACACGTTGTGGTTACAAATGAAATCATCAGTCGTGAGTTGAGTTTGTCGTCATGTTTCTTAGGTGTTCAAATGGATGTGTATCTCCAGGAATCCTCATAATGATGTCAAACCCTCACATTATGATATCTTATCTTCTTTAAGATATATTGTTAAGTGTGGGATATTTTCTTTTTTATATCCCACGTGTCCGACATTACAGCTTGTTGTACGCTGAGGTGAAAACCTGCGGGTTTCCCAGGTATATAGAAAATGAAATATTTTCGCTCTGCTATAAATGCAGCGCTGCAGGTGTGCTCCATCATAACACTGAGAGACATCCGAGAGTTTGCTTCATACAAAGGAAGTTTATACCTTTAAAAAAATGATGAACAGGATTCTCTTTGCTTGCCTGTTTCTCGCTCTGTCCACTGCAGGCTCCTCGCTAAGCTGCAGATGGATGGATCATAAATTCAGACAGCACAACGAAGAAACTCTGAATCTGCTTGATACCATGGTGAGTGTTTAAATGTTTTAATATTAGTTAATTTGTTATTTTTCGTGAAAGAATTATTTCAATTTAGCATCTGATGACTAAAACATTCAATGTGTTTCAGGCTAAAAACTCCACTAACACCACGGAAGTGGAGGTCACCGTGGCCTTCCCTAATCACCTGTACCGCCAGGTGTCCAAATCATCAGTAAGTGAACCTCAGCTTTTGCCTATTTATAGAAAAAAATATAATTTTCCCTTAGGACAGATTAATTTAGTCTTTTTAATCCACTCTTATTATTATTAAAGCATTTCTAACGTGGTCTGTGTTTGATCTTCTTCTTCTTCCAGGATGAGGATAAACTGGCTTTCACAGTTCAGATTCTGGAGGAGGTGGCTGCCCTGTTTGAGGAGGATCACAGCTCTGCATCATGGGAGGACAGCGAAGTGAGGAACCTTCTCAATATTGTCAACAAACAGGCTGAAGAGCTTCACTCCTGTGTAAGTTCACTTTCAGTTAGGTTTTTATTACATTCGAATACTTTACATGACATGACATATT